CCTCTCAGTCCCCATGAAAGCTGTCATTCTAGGGTGGCCAGTAGAGAGGGCAAAGAGGAAACCCTCTCCAAAAGATAAGGGAAGGGGGGCAGGAGGAAGCACCTTGGAGTGGAGCTATTCACTTCACGATTGTGCAACGGCATGCAAGCAGTAAAAGTTATGGCTGTTTCCATCTGAGAGCACCTCCCACACAGCTGGCACTTTGCTAAGCCCTTAACTTACTTCATCTCTTTGAAGACAGGAGAGGACAGTGGTCAAGAGCTCAAACACAGTCAGACAGAACCGGCTGCTCCTCCGGTGCAGCAGGAGTTGTGGCCTTGGGCAAGTTTCTCAATCTCTCTGAGCCCAAGTTTCCTCATCTCATGCATCTAACCCCAAACCCCACGGTATTAATCACACTGTCCCCTGGGGCCACCTTCACTGCCAGGACCTGGCAGGGAGGAGCCAAGAGGATCAAGGAGGTTTTATATTTTTCAGGCCAGGCAGCACAGGCCCAGACAGAAGCCCCCTGGCCAGGGATAGGCCCCGGAAGGCCCAGGATCCTGGACTGGCTTGAAGCCCCCCAGCCCGCTGAACAAAGGAGGAGAGGAGGCCCCTAAGTTAGAAGCAGAGCTGGGATGGATCACTGGGATGGATCTCGGGACTCCTGCTCCAGTGCTCCCTCCACAATAGGCCCTCAGGGAATCTGTGCTTTTCAGATATAAGCCCCAGGAGACCAGCCTTTCCCTCTTGGCTTTACCACCAGAATATCCAGAATAAGTAAATCCATAGAGACAGAACGCAGATTCGTGGTTGCCTGGGCTGGAGAAAGGCCAGAAAGGGGAGCAACTGCTTAATGGAAAGGGGGTTTTCTTTTGGGGTGATAATGTTGGAACTAGATAGAGGTGGCAGTTGGGCACATTGTGAATGTGCTCAATGCCACTGAACTGTCCACTTTAAAATGGTTAATTTTATGTTACATGAATTTCACCTCAATTTAAAATAAGGGTACCTCGGGCCGGCTCCGTGGCTTAGCGGTTAAGTGCGCGCGCTCTGATGCTGGCGGCCCGGGTTCGGATCCCGGGCGCGCCCCAAGGCACCGCTTCTCCGTCCAGCGCGAGGCCGAGTCCCACGTACAGCAACTAGAAGGATGTGAACCTATGACATACAACTATCTGCTGGGGCTTTGGGGGGAAAAAAATGAATAAATAAAATCTTTAAAATAAGGGTACCTGTAGGTAAGAGATTAAAGGGAGAAGAGTGGGCAAGTGCCAAGGGGGGCGGGGAGGTGAAGGAGGGGCTGAGGTATGAGGGAGGAGGAGGAAGCTGCAGAAACAGGGAAGTTCGAGGTGAGCAAAAGGTTTGAGGGAGGGGGTTTCCTCGGCTGCAGGGAAGGGCAGCTGCAGGGAAGGGCGGCCTGGAGAATGCAGCTGATCGAGGAAGCAGTCTGATCCCTTGGACGTGGGGAGCCCCTGCACTTTGGAGGAAGGAGGGAGAACCAGGAGAGGGAGTGGCAGGCGCTTGCAGCCTCTGAGCTGTTTGCTTCCTCTCAGACTTTAGACTGGAAGCTCCTGGGGGTGGAGACAGGGACCTCTCTTTTTAGCTGTTTTTAATTTTCTGAGCAGAGCGTCGTCACAGGTAGATGGTGCTTTAAAAATCATGACACCAGTGGAATGAAATGGAACACGTTAAGTAGTTAAGGAAGATTACCCACCGCCCACACCAGGGAAGTGAGGATGGCACTGGCTGAGTGTGTGTGTGTGTGTGTGTGTGTGTGTGTGTGTGTGTGTGTCGCGCGCCACCCCCAGACAGCAGGGGGACTGCCTGAGACTTCCTAGGGCCAGAAGGGCCTGTCCATCACCCCCTGCAGGCCCCAGAGCCCCCAAAGGGCCGTACCCACCGGGGTCTGGGATGGGGGAAGGGACTGCACCATGGGTTCCTTTGTCAGACCCAGGAAGGAGAGTGAGGGCAGCTACAGGAAGTAGGGGGGTGAGGAGTTCCCTCCGGAATCTATCCCCCCACTTCCCTCCCCTCCCGTTTGCACATGCTCAGTGTTCCCTCAAATTGGGTTGGCTGGGGGAGGGCACTGACTGGCACCCCCACTTAAAGGGCCAGTGCCATCTTTGCCTGCGCCCAACAGGGGCAATGGGACCTGGCCACCCTCTTCCCTCATACTGAATTACTTCACCTCAGACCCCTTCCCCACTTTCTGACAGACTCCTCCTGCCCCCTTAGCTCCTCTGCCCACCCACTACCTCTCATTCCGTGACCCTGTTGCAGGCAGGGTCTTTCCACTGGACAGAGGAGTTTCCACCTGGGGTCGGGGGTGGAAGGAAGATCCCAGGCCAGGGTACGCAGGGGTAGAGGGAGGCTTCAGCAATCACTCCTGTGAAATATCGGCCCCTCTGCCCTAGGTGACCAAGAAGATCCTGGGAAGCAAACAGGCATGCGGGAAGTCAGGCACTGAGCATTTGCTCTGGAAAGGCCTGGGGAGGATAGAGGAGTGTGTCCAAGCCTGCTGGGGGGTGGGGGTGGGGGGAGGGGTGCAAATTGGAGCTTTCCTCACTGTGGTAGGGTGGGGAGAAGCCCAGGCCCCAGGACCAGGCAGCCAGAGAGGGAAAAGTAGGGAAGCAAAACGAACTTGCGCCTGGTCGCCACCTGTAGCTGGCTCCCCCAGTGCTGAGCCTCCAGGCACCCAGCTCCACCCTGGGGTTCAGGGGCACTGAGGCCGGGAACCAGATGGGGGGGTGACACTGGCCTTTCTGCACTAAGCCCTCTCAGCCCCTCCTGACACCTTCCCAGCACACACCCTTCTCCTTTGTTTTCTTGCCCCATCCTGTCCCCCAACAGCCTTGGGAAAATTAACCTTCCTGGGTACAGCCCTAGCCAAGAGCCCTTCAGCCACGTGTGTGTGTGTGTGTGTGTGTGTGTGTGTGTATGTTGGGGGTGCGGAGGGCCAGCTGGCAGCTTTCCTGTCTCCAGGCTCCTTAGCTCCTGGGCCAAGAAGGGCCGAACTCCTCACCTGTCCCCTCCCTGTGAGAGGCTTTTGCCTATTCAGGGACTCGCTGGCCCAAGCCGCCTCTAGGACACACCCTCCAGCACCCTTTCCCTTGACACCGTGCCCACATCCCCTCCCCCCACACTCCAGCAGCCCTCTGGAATCTTCTCTCCCCTCCTAGTTACCCCTCCTAGTTACACACACACACACACACACACACACACACACACACACACACACACACACGCCTCTGGGTAAACAACCTTCGTCCTGGCCTTCCCCTCTCCCTCCAGGCTCCAGGCTGAGGAATGCAGCAGCTGGGAGGCCTTTGGGTCCCTGGCTAGCACCCCATAGGGGAAGGCAGGACTCGGGCCAGCTTCCTTGGAATCCGGAAAGCCACTTCCTCTCTGAGCCTTGGGTTTCCCATCTGCAAAGTGGAGACCATCATTCCTGCAGCCCTTCCTGACAGAGCTGTCTGGGACCAAAGGGAAGGGGTCTAAAACCCTCGGCCAGGGTTCCAGGGATAGAAGATTCTGCTCTCTCTTGAAACCCATCTCTTCCTAGAATCTGTTCTTGCCTCGCTTCATTGTAGAAGGCAGTGGCAAGGCCTGGGTGTGGCAGGGCAGAAATGAAAGCTGTCCTGGCAACACACAAGGTTCGTCAACATTTCCATCCCTGCAGCTCACAGGCCTGAACCCTTCTCTTGCCCAATGTGGCCTGTCAAGATGAGCTTTCCTGGATGGAAGTTAGGCCGGACCGGCCAGGCCTCTGCCCCTCCCCGTACACGGTGGCAGAGCCAACACAAGCTCATTGGTGAGTTGACTAACCTCCCCCGCCACCACCACAGCCTAAGACTTAACACTCTGTGGCCAAAAAAGAGGCCAGGAGGGTGAGGGAAGAGAGCCCCGTGTCTGAGGAAGGGTGGGTGAGTGTGAGGAGTGTGGAAGCTCGTTTCAGGGCCCAGTGCTGCTGGCATGTTGATGGCATGTGCATCATCCGGGCTGACTTGGCTCTCCAATTTGCACAGACAGGTCACGGGCTCACAGACCTCAGAGGGAATTGCCCACACACGTGATTAGGCTAAGAGGGGCAGGATGCACAGATGCACAGCGGGCACCAGGAAAGCCAGGCCCCCAGCTCTGCTAAGGACCCATTTGCTGCCCTGCCTCTTGGGCTTATTTTACACCAGGAGAAAACTTCCCTCGAGTGCTTACTTTTGTGTGTGTGTGTGTGTGAGGAAGGCCAGCCCTGAGCTAACATCTGATGCCAATCCTCCTCTTTTTTGCTGAGGAAGATTGGCCCTGGGCTAACATCTGTGCCCATCTTCCTCTACTTTATATGGGACGCCACCACAGCACGGCCTCACAAGCGGTGCATCGGTGCACGCCCAGGATCCGAACCGGCGAACCACCGGCCGCCGCAGCGGAGCGTGCACACTTAAACGCTTGTGCCACCGGGCCAGCCCCCCTTGAGTGCTTACTTTTTAAGTTCCCTTCCAGGAGGTAAGGGGGCAAAGGTGATCACTAACTGCCCAACCCCCTGGCTGGGAGATACTGGGGATGGGGGGCTGTCAAGGACAAGGAGACACAGGCACCCAGACCTTTCTAGCCCACCCTCTAAACTGTGGGGAGGACAGGAAGAATATAGGAGGCCTGGGAACAAACCCTGAAGGAAGCCCTGGACTTGGGCCTTCTCCACAACTCCCAGCCCGCTCTCGTCCAAGGGAAGCTCCCAGCTCCTCACAGCGATCCTGCATCTTAAGTCAAGTCTCAGCTGAACTTGCTGGCTCCTGACTGAGCCCCATCCACCTCCCCCCTCTATAAAAGCTTCAGAGCAGTCTCATTTCTTCCCGACACTCGGAGCAGAATTCAGGCATCCTGGAGACCTTGGTAGGTCCCCAAACCAGAATCTGCTGACCTCCCAGGCTTGGGGCAAGGGGAGACTGGGACCCCAGTCCCAGACCTCTCTGGGACAAATGTGCTTTGATTCTCAGAGCAACCCTAGTGAAATCAATCCTAGCCACTCCCATTTGAGCTCATCAAAACCATTTAATTTCTCTGTGAAAAATAAGATGACATCAAAGAATAAATTGTAGACATGACAAGGTGGAAGTCTCAACCTATTTTAGCTGTTCCCAGGGGGCACAGGGGTACTCAGAGTGGTTTTCATCTGTCCCCTGCCTCCTTGAGACCCAGCTGGCCTGAGTGTGTATGAAACGGGACCTTCTTCCTGGGTCAACCTGGCTAGGGGCACCCCTAGGTGCCTGGCTCTCCATTGTGGCGGCTGCTCTCGGTTCCACATCTCGTTCTCCTGCCGAAGCCGCTGGTTCTCCGTGCGAAGCCTCTCTACCTCGGCAGCCAGCTCCTCCACCTGGCGACAGGGCTGCCGGCTGGTGCACCCCTGCAGCTGCTGCAGCCTTCTTGTCTCCTCCTCAGCCTGTGACAGCCGCCTCTCCAGATCCAGGTAGTCTTGCACCAGCTCCTGCTTGCTGCGGCCCTGGAGGCTCTCGGTGTGGTAGCGCTCATAGGCCTCTGAGAAATCCCTCTCCTGGAACTCACCATGAGCACGGCCCTGCCCATCGCTGTCCCCTGCCTCACTCTCCCCACTGGAGCCTGGGTGGGAGGCCCCCTGGGGCACATCCAGGTTGGGCTCCTCGGGGTCTCGGTCATTCATCAGGAACTGGGTGGTGTTGTAGGGCGCCACAGGCTGGCCTTTGGCGAACATTTCCTCCCGGACCCGGGAGGCCCTCTGGCTCTGCCTCTCATCCTGCTGTTGCTTCTCGGCCCAGCTCAGCTCCAAGTAGGGCCGCCAGTGCCGCCTGCGCTTTGATGGCCGCCGTCGGTGCTTCTTCCGGCCCAGGACGGCCTCCACCGAGCAGCTCCCTGGGCTGTGGGTCCGGGGACCCCTACTGTTCCAGCCCAGGCCACCGCCAGCCCCAGTAGGATCTTCCTCCTCCAAGTGGCCCTCCATCTGAGGTGTCAGGGGCAGGGAACCACCAGCGTCACAAGGCTCAGGGGGTGTTTCGGGGCTCCCAGGAGCACAAGAGATCTAAAGAGATAGGACAAGGGAGGATGGATCACAGGCAGCCTGTCCCTGGTGGTGGAATCCTTCCCCATCCACCCAGCCTGAAGCTGCCCTTCCCCAACCCAGCTAACTTGGTCCCTCTCTGGCCTCTAACCCTTCTGCAACCATCTGTTTGTTTACGGGCTCACCTGCCTACTGTCTGTCTCCCAACCCTCCCCAAGCAAACACGCTGAGAGCAGGAATTTTGCCCGTGTATTTTGCTCTGTAATTTCAATGCCTAGACCAGTACCCGGCACTAAGTAGGCATTCACTAAACACTGTTTGAATGAATGAAGTAGGAGGAGGAAACGGAATGGAAAGTGGCTCCTGATGCATTCGGGGGACCAGAAGCCCCAATGGCACTGCTCGTCCATCTTCCTAGAAAGCTTGCCTTTCAGACAGAGCTGGCTTCATGGGCAAGCGGCCTGTGCAGCCGCACAGAGCCCCTGTTCAGAAAGGCCCCACGCTTTGCTTAATGCTCTGCTGTCATTGTCTTGAACTTCTTAGTAATTCTGAGTAGAGTCCTTTACACTGAGCCCCACGAATTATGTAGCTGATCCTGCTTCCAGCTATTTCTATGGTTTTTTCATCCTTTAGGGCTTAGTTCCAATGTCACTTCTTCAAAGAGGCCCTCCCTGACCACTCTATCTAAAGTAGCCCCCCACCTCCCCTTCCCAGTGACTCCCTATCGCCTGACACAGTTAATGTCCCATGTAGCATTTAGCACATTACCATTTCCCATCTGTCTTCCTCCTGTAAGAATGTGTCTTGTCAGACTCATAGATACAGGAAACAAACTGGTGGTTACCAGAGAGGGGAGGGGTTGGGGGGGGGCAGGCAAAATAGGTGAAAGGGATTAAGAAGTACAAACTTCCAGTTATAAAATAAATAAGTCACAGGGATGTAATGTACAGCATAGGGAATACAGTCAATAATATTGTAATAACTTTGTATGGTGACAGATGGTACATAGATTTATCATGGTGATCATTTTGTAATGTATATAAATATCGAATCACTATGATGTACATCTGAAATTAACAGGATATTGTATGTCAATTATAATTCAATTAAAAAGAAAAGGAAAGTCTCTTTAGTTCACCACTGTGTCCCTATGCATGGCCCAAGGTAAGTACTCAATAAATACATGTTAAATGACATAAAGCCCCTAAGAGGGGGGGATCCAAAAGATATGGGAACACGAGACTCTCCTTTATGTTGTTCTAGGGTAAAGAAGAAGGAGTACATTTATTCCAGGCAGAAGGTGGTATCACTCTTTGACATGAGGGGCAGGAAAGAGGTCCTAACTAGGAGGAGGGGTCAACCTCCAGTCTGCAGCTGAGAGAATTCTAGAACTTATCTAAGAGGTGGAAAGAATTCTGTCGAGAGAGTGTGTGTTCAGGGCATCTGTTTATCTGTCGTGGTGAGGTTGGGAGTGTGGTGGATGGAGAATGAATTGCTCTAAGTTTGTGGTTTGGAGAATTCTAATAATAACCACTACCACTGGCATGTTGTTTTATAATGTACAACATGGTTCAGGGACATCTGAGCATGGGTGCATACAAGCATGGGGTGTGTGCTGGGGGATGTATGCAGCCCTGTAAGAGCGGAGGTGTGTTATGTGCATTTGGAGACTCTGAAGTTCTCTTCGTAATTTGGGATGGGGTGTGTTGGAGTGTGTGTGTGCGTGTGTGTGTCTGTGCATGTGGTGTTTGTTCTGTTGTATTGTTACTTCACCTGCAGGGAGATCATCAATCAAGAGTGACAGGCCTTGTCTCCACCAGTGTCTTGGGCCAACTGAGGCAGAGCTTCTGTCCCCCCTGGGAAGAGGCAACTGCTGGGAACTCTGAGGCAGGGTGGCTTCTGTGCCTGTGTGTGTGTGTGTGCGCGCGCGCACGCGCGCGCATGCACATGTGCACACAATCATTCACCTGCTCCCAGCTCTCAGCAAATGTCCCCTAATGATCTTTCCCTCCACCCAAGCCAGCCGTGCCCCTCAGCCCCACATGCTACCTCCCTCCTGAAGGCTTGTCCCTCTACCACTGTTACCACTATTCCAGATAAGCTGTGTGATCTGGTGAGTCATTTGCCTTCTCGGAACCTTCCAGCCCTGACATGCCATGACTCCAAATTAAATAAATCCAGAAAACATTGGAAGTGGCTAAGTAGGTGGGTCAGAGGAGCTGAGTTCCTTCCTCACCTATAGGGAGTTGCGGGCTAGGGGAGAAGAATGCGCGAGGTGGGGGCAGTGAGAGAGAGCATGGGCCAGGAGGGTTTGGGCTCCTGTTTCCAGATTAGAAGGTGATGCTCTCTGAGGGCCTGATATAATCTCTCTCCCCTCTCTCCTAGGTGACATCCTACCACCCACCCCCATCCTAAATTATGAACCAATTGCTCAAACTCTTCTGCCTGCTTCCGACTTGATTCTCAGCCTGGACAAAATGCAAGGCAGGGTTCTGTTGTCAGAGGCCCTAAGTTTAAAGCCTGGGTCTTTTGCTTGCTGGCTGCATGATTCTAGAAAAGGTATTTCAGCTCTCAGAATTTGAGCTTCCTTGAAATGGAAAACAGTCATTCCTACCTTGAAAGGCTACTAGGATTTCATGAGATAGCACAGATTCAGCATCTGGCATGTTGCCTAGCACATAGTAGAGACTCACTTAAAATTACTGTTTTTTCCAAATCTGCAAACACATGTGAGACGGGAAGCCAGGATCCCAGTTGGCAGGTCCCTGTCCAGGGCACTCAGGTGGTTGGGAGGGTGGGGCTTACCTTGGCCTCTTCCAGGGCTGCTGGTGACTCTGTATTACAGTTGGTCTGGTTCCAAGTAGCCACCTTCTTCCCTTCCAAATCTTTCAGCAGATGCCTTTAACTAGTGACACCTGCTTTAAATAACAGAAACCAAAGTCTTGAAGTAGAGTTTTCAGAAGACTCTGGTTCCCCAAGAACTTTTTACCAAAGCAGTGGCAGCCATTTTGTAGCACCAGACCTGCACACCCTCATTTTCACATGAAGGCCCTGAAGGCTGCCTCCACACCCTGGTTTTCACAGCTCCAGCCAGCAAGGGGCCAAATGGTGATCAAGGGGCCATCTTCCCAGACTTGTTCCTCAGGCCCCAGGCCAGGGCTTACATCCTTTACTGTTCTCCTGGAAGTCACTGAGGCCAGGCTGGCAGCTAGGAAGGCAGGCCTAAGGTTTGTTCCCCCAACAACCAAAGCGGGAAAGGAGACTGCCTGGGGAGGCGAATATACGTCAATGACCGGGAGAGGCTGGGAGCGGAGTGCATCAGTGGGTCCGACAAGAAAATATGTGGCAGGCTCAGGAGGGGTCCTTTCCCCACTGCCCCCAGAGGCCCCAATCTTGACTGCAAGCCCCACCCCCCCGCGCGCACCTCCTACCCAGGCTAGGCTCCAAAAGTCTTAATGCCTTAAGAAACACGGCTGGGGCCTGGGCCAAGCGTGGGGCTGAGGTCTTTTCATCCACAGGGCCTGGCCTGCGTCCTTCCTTCCTCTCAGGACAGGAAGCAAAGGAAAGGAGACGAAGTCTTCGCACTACATGCAGCTGGGAGGGAACCCCAACTGGGATAAGGAAGGATTCCTTGGAAGAGGGGAAATGGTCCGGGAAGGAGATTTTGCAAAAGCGGAACTGACCTATTTACTGTCAAGGGCTATGCACTCGACTACACCTGTGTGTCTTTCTCTGCAACCGCCTGTCTGTGCAATTGCCTCAGCCCTACCTCTTGCCGCAGTTGCAGCAGCTCTGGTCAAGCCGCTCAGGCACTAGAGTTGGGGGGAGGGGACAGCCTGGCAGCGCGATGCTTGCTGGGGATTGGAGTTCTTCTTGCTTGGGTAGGCGGATCAGGATCCTGTCACGTCAACAACCACACCGAGAACTCCAAAACCCATCTATCCTTGCGCGAGTGGCGGCCCGCGCTCATCGATACCTTCTCTGATTGGCCAACTCGTCTGCCAATATCCCACTTTTGTCAACGATTAGCTGTGCGGAGGCACAATCGGATACGTCTTTCCGAGATCAATTAAAGAGTTCATTGAAGGCGTTAATCTTTACCGGGCAGAAAATAGATCCGGCTGAGAGGGGAGGGGCTGTGGGCGCGGAGGGATCCTCGGCCCTAGAGGAAGGCGACGAGACGATCGGTGGCCGTCGCCGCCATTTTGGGCTGGGAGGAGGCAGCGGAGGGACTCGCTGCGCAGTGAGAGCACCCCATGGGGGGTGGTCCGGGCGCGGGGAGAGGCCGGGCCGAGTGGGCTGCCTGAAGTGGCGGCGCCGGGAGACCGCGGGGAGTGGGACCGGGGGCCGGGGGGGTGAAGGTTGGAGTCTCCCCGGCCGGGCCCGGTCCTCAAACCGTCCCGGCAGCCCCGTAGCCTCGCCTCTCAGAGGCGGGGTTCTTGGGTAATTACCGCGTGTTTCCCCAGACCCCGGTTAGGGAGAAACCGGGAGAAACGACTCCCCTCTGTTGTCCTTCCCCTGGGGCGCAGATCCTGAGGCCGAGGTCTGCCAAGTTCGCTCCCTACCCCCATTCGGCCTGGACATGGCGTTGAGGCCCAGCGTGGCGGCACCCCCACTTCGATGGGCGAGGTGGGGGCGACGCCAGGTTCCAAAGACAGGCGCCGCGGGGGAGGGCGGAGGTCGCAGCACTGGCCGCGGTCCCTGTGGCCTGGCAGTCGACTGGAGGCTCCGAGGGCGGGAGAGTCCTGTGCACCCACCATCTCCCGCATACACCAAGGCCATCCCGCGGCCTGGGCTGCGGAAAGGAACAGCCCCCTTCCTACTGTAGCAACCATGAATTTCCCCTGGGACCAGCCAGATAGGGGCACGTGGAAACCTTCGCGCGCCCAGTGCTTGGAAATCTCTGAGCGCTCTTGCCCTCAAGATTTCTCCTCTCCAGCCCCCATTCTCGGAACAACCTGAGTTCGCACGTCGCCAGCCACTTTGGGAAAGTCCAAAAGCGTGCTGTTCCACTTGTCTTGAAAGTTTACACCAAAGGGGGATGGGTTTTTGCCCTTTACAGGGTTGAGACACAAAATTATTGCGAGTGGCCATGGCTCTGGGAATAAAAGTGGAGTGGCGCATTTCGGATGCTTCAGGAACATCTGTTTGCGTTTTGAAATCTGAGCCATAACTTTTACCAAAACTTTTGGAGAAACGGCTCCCCTCCTAGAGGAGAAAAAGAACTAATTCAAATGTAATCTTTATAAGACTACAAATTCTTCCCAGTTTAAAGAACTTTTCTCCCACAAACTAAACAAAATGGGGGAGTATTGTGAGTATTTTGCCTCTGGTGCATTGTTACTAGGGAATCTGTGTTTTGAAATTCCAAGTAATTGAAAATCACTTCTGTAGATCCTAGATGGTACCAAAATAGAAATTGCAGTTTTGAGCTGCTTCATATAAGTGGCGTTTGGGGGATGGGAGAGACCTGCTTTGAAAAAAATAAACACTCAACCTAATGTTACAGCTGTAGCAGCTTCTTAAAGATTGAAGTTTGATGTGAAATTCTTTTCTTGAATTGCAGATTAAACCAGCTTGTTTCCTACTGCTGGAAATCTAAATCCAGAGAGATTAACAGCTCAGGGATATCTTAATTTTTTCCCCAAAAGGTCAGTTAAAATTATGCCTAAGTAGGGGCTGGCCTGGTGGCATAGTGGTTAAGTTCTGTGCTTTCCGCTTCACTGGCCTGGGTTCGGATCCCGAGTGTGGACCTGCACCACTCATCAGCCATTCTGTGGCAGTGACCCACAGACAAAATAGAGGAAGATTGGCACAGATGTTAGCTCAGGGCCACTCTTCCTCAAGCAAAAAGAGGAAGATTGGCAACAGGCATTAGCTCGGGGTGAATCTTCCTCAGCAAAAAAATAAAAAATTATGCCTAGGTAGACTCAAGGGGGTGACTGGGCGGAAATCCTTATCTTTGGGGGTGCACTGTGATGAATCGCATTGCCAATTACAGATAGTCAAATCATCCTAAGCCTTTGACCTTAATAGCAAGAGCCTTGAAAGATTCTTGAGGATTGAAGTCCTACCTCTCCTATTAATAAAGTAATTTTGTAAGTTGTAAGAGTGACAGTTCCATAGCTTTAACTATTTTGTCCCCCTGCCCCCTAGATGTTCTCAGAGAAGGTCTTAGAACTGGCTTACAAAAATATGATCACCATCGACTTCAGTTCTTAATCTAACATTTGAACCATTTACTCCTAAATGAAGCTTCAGTACACTTGATTGATACTGTAGGTTGACTTTTGGCTTACATCATGTTCATTTTACACTGTTCTTCAGATCAAGAGATGATGCAAGTTAGGAAATGCTGACACTAACTTGGTAGGAGTTAGGTTAAATAGTCATAGGAGCTGAAAAGGGCTTTAAAGATTATCTTTGTGGTTCTGTCAAGAATTTAATGGAGGAGGATCCCAGACTCTGATTCATCCTCCATTGTGAAGTAATCTAGTTAAACCTTTGGATGCTGCTTAGTGGAGAATTCTGTACCAGTTGCAGAAGTTTGTTACTCACTTATAAAAAAGAAAGCTTATCATCTTTAAGGTTGACCCATAAGTTTTTCCATTCCCTGATAAGAAAAGTTGGAAATAAAACCAGTTTATTAATGGCCCCTTGGTTATCTACTGAGCAAAACACAGGACTGGAAGTTAGAAACTTCAAGTTCTATTTCTGTGTGTGCTACCACTGACTTGGTTGGCTTGGCTAGAGGCCAAATCCTGAAGATGAGGCCAAACTGGTCGTTTTGCTACTGAGTTTATTGTTCATCTAATGTTCAACAAGACCTTCAACTTCCTCCTCAGTTCTCCCCTTTCAGAAGAGTTGCTTTGTGGTTTATGACAAATTATACAAACCCTATATGCCTTGGTTTCCTAATTTGAAAATAGTATCAATGCTACCTCCCTCGTAAATACTTTGAGGAGTAACTACTCCTTGGTAGCTATGTAAACGTACTTTCTATAACTTTGTTATTTGGGAACTTTAGAACATCTGCTTCAAAGGTTATTTGGGGCACTTGGAGGCCTGTCTTACCAAACTGTGGCCTTGGTTACCCATGGCAGCACAAAGGGTGGCCATCAAAATAGGCTGAACAAGGGTCAGTCTCTCAGGGTACCAAGCAGTTGTCACTGTGACGTCCTGGACGTTTTACATTTGCCTGATGGCCAGCTCCTGGGGACTAGTGGCTTGCATGAGCAGGATGCATTGACGGGTAGGAGTGATTCTTCGCAGCACTCCTCTTCAAGATGAAGATGCTTGTTTCTGAACTATTTGATTTCCACAGTTAATCAATTTTTTACTCTCTGTGTTTCGCTCTCACCGTCCTCCTCTTTTTTTTATTTTTATTTTTTGGTGAGGAAGATTAGCCTTGAGCTAACATCTGTTGCCAGTCCTCATCTTTTTCCTGAGGAAGATTGGCCTGGGCTAACATCTGTGCTCATCTTCCTCTGCTTTATATGGGATGCCTGCCACAGTATGGCTTGATAAACGGTGCATAGGTCTGCACCCGGGATCCAAACCTGCGAACCCCAGGCTGCCGAAGCAGAGCACGCAAACTTAACCCCTACACCAGCGGGCTGGCCCCCTGTCTTTTCTCTAAGTTGTTCAAATGTTTGCTGTTTTATTAAGTACACTTTTGGTAATAACTAAGGAGGAAGGTAGAACTAACCTCTTAGACATTCCCTTCCATCCTCCAGTTTGGTCTTTTGCCTTTGCCTGAAAGTTGTACTGGAGTTATCCAGGTATGCAGAATTATGTGTTTAAAGCAGGCTTCAGAACTTCAAATTAATGTCCTCTGACCCTCTGGAGGCTAGGACAAGTTCTACTGAGTAGTTTACAAGAGCAGTGATGCTATCATTTTCTCAAGTTCTCGTGCATGGAGCACTCTAAAGCTCCCACGTTTTCCTTCAGGAATATACTTTTTGCTCACCACAGACCCCTGGCATTTTAACAATTCACACAAAGTCAGTGGATGTGTCAAATAGAATATGACTTCAGATGAGAGTTTACAATTCCCTTCTGAATTTTTGCTCTTTAAAAAAATTTTAAATGTAACTGCTCTTGGTGCTGTATTGAGAAAAAGATCACATTGGCTATTTCAAAACACTTCCCAGCAGTTTCCTATAGCAGCTCAACCATTTGGAAGAATTTTGTTGTGAAGAATTTTGTGCAAAGGTTTATTAGTAAATTACTAGATAATTCCTGCTGTTGCCCATGTTGTTATATCATTTGTCATAATTGAATCGCCACTAAGTAAAACACAAGAAAAAGTTTATTCAGGAGGATTTGTGAGAGCTAAATTATTGATCTAAACCCAGACTCTCCTTTTTCAACAAGAAATGGAATGAGGTTGTAACCTTTCCAGTATTCAAAGGCAACTGACAAAATTGGCTAAAGATTGAATCTTTGCCTCCTAGACCATATATTTTGTCCCACTTGCAAAGTATGACTCTTACCCTTTGGTCAGCAGATCTCACTTCAGGGCCTGAATTTGAATTACTTTTCATTTCTAGCATCAAACATTTCAACTTTTATGAGAGAATAGTAAAGTGGAATTTTATTCCAATGATCTTACTTGTCAAATGTGAAAAATAATTAATTTTAAAAAAAAAACAAACCCACAAATTCAAGTGTACTTAGGTACAAGTACTGTCTTAACTCTAGCCAACTTTTCCATCACACTATTGTGAATATTTGGTGCCAGCTGTTCTGGTAAGTGGCCAGGGGGATACCTGTGTTGCATTGCCTAATGTGTTACTAAATATAGCCAGCTCTTGATTTTCTGAAGGTAGACTATCAGATACGGATTTTGTTTTTTATTTCTGTGGACTACCTCTGGTTTCTCTAACTTTTGAAGTCATTAGGGTAAAGTATATTTATTTACATTTCCCCAAGCAAAGGATTTTTTTTTTTACTCTGAGGTGAAAATTAAAATATTGATCAAATGGGCAACTGCTCTGGTCTTAAAAAGAACCAGTAATAATCATACCAATGGTAACTTCCTATTGTATAGTACATTTTCATGCTATCTGGTTTAATCCTTATAGCAGTTATGTAAAGTAGGCCTGGCCCCATTTTGCTGATGAAGAATGAGGCTCAGAGAGTCTAAGAGATGTGTCCAGGATTGCCTTAAAGGTATGACTAGAACTCTGGTGTTTTGACTCCTAGTCTGGTCTAATTTTTATGTTCCCTCTCTTTAGAGATGCCTAGTATGTTTTTTGGTTTTTTTGTGAGGAAGATTAGCCCTGAGCTAGCATCCATGCCAATCCTCCTCTTTTTGCTGAGGAAGACTGGCCCTGAGCTAACATCCGTGCCCATCTTCCTCCACATTATGTGGGCCGCCGCCACAGCATGGCTTGACAAGCCGCGCATCGGTGAGCGCCCGGGATCCAAACCTGCAAACCCCGGGCCGCCGCAGCGGAGCGCACACACTTAACCGCTACACCATGGGCCAGCCCCGTGCCTAGTCTGTTTTTCAGAACTAAACTGATCTGGAACTCCCTGGCTTTCTGTCCCCTAAACTGAAATCTAAAGGGCCCTGTCTCCTGAGGGCTGCTTTATGTTATAGGCTAGCCCAAGAAAAGTTTTCCTTACTCAGAGTAGGATTAAGCTCTCCAGCCAGCTGTCTCAAAAGTTTGGGAAGTGCTTTGCCCTGGCTGGATTACCCAGGCCCCAGTATGAGAAAGGAAACAAACTGAAATTGCCAGTGTATAAGCATGGTCTTTTGGGCAGCTCAGTTAAAATGTTTGGCAGAGAGGACTTTAGTTAAGGCTAGAGTGGCCTTGAGGATCATTTGTCATCACAACCCCATTAATGTAGGTAATTCAGTCTTTTCTCTTTGCCTTGAGAGAAATATGCTAATCAAGTGTTTCAATGTAGAAAGTGTTGATAGAAAACTGAAATTTCCCACAAACCTCATCATTCTAAGAACATAGATGCAATGAATATAGTAAAACACCAGTGCCTTTGAAAACAAAATTCAGACAGAAAGTTGCATATCTCAAGGTAAATCAAAGTAATTTATGGGAGTTACTTAAAACTAAATATTTGTATTTTTTTAAGACCAGACTGAATTTGTCTCCTAAGAGTAAAACACACTTTTTTCTGATGATAAATGCACTGACGCAGTCTTCCCAAGACTAATATGGGAAACAAGATCGTTATACTTAAATTCATCTTATTAAGAGGTTATAGGGGCCGGCCCAGTGGTGTAGTGGTTAACTTCACACGCTCTGCTTCTGCAGCCCGGGGTTCACAGGGTTGGATCCCAGCACGGACCTAGGCACTGCTCATCAAGCCACACTGCGGCGGCATCCCACATGCAAAATAGAGGACAATGGGCACCAATGTGAGCTCAGGGCCAATCTTCCTCAGCAAAAAAAGAGGAGGGTTGGCAATGGATGTTAGCTCAGAGCCAGTCTTCCTCACACACACAAAAAAGAAGAGGTTCTAGAATCCAAGGTTATCACTGCTGCATCTACAGTGCAGTCAGAATGAGGCTTCTGCTCTGCACTGTAAAGCCAGAGGGCAGTGTTGCTGCCTTTCCACCAAGCAGCCATGTTTCTGGGACTGCTGCGTGACGTCATAGCAGAAGGAAAATTAACACGAAGAAAACTATTTCAAAATAGACATTTAATGTAATTTTTAGGCCAAAGGAAAAACCAATCGTACATTTTCTCCAGTGGACCGTCTGCCAGAATAGGGCCAGCTCAGTCCAGCTTTGACGGCCCTGAGTCGGTCTTGACTGGCATAATTTCCCTTGATTCATTGATTTGCGTATGCTTCTTATGCATTGTAAGGTGCATGTCTCTTGAATTTCCCACCACCTCCACTATTTCATTTAGCTGCAAAAGCAAGCTTCCCAATGGAAGGTTTTTTTTTTTTCCCTTTCCCTGCAGGGGTGCCTAACCTTCAAGGAGTGTGACAATCTCTTGATTCGCTGGAACCCTCTCCCCAGAAAAATGTACATGTAACAAAAGTCTATGTATAATTTCATGGGGTTCATGGACCCCAAGGCCCTCTGTGGTTTCTAAGGCTCCCAGTTAAAGAACAGAACCCCTGTACTAGTGATTTGAGCAATGCAATTGTCCTACGGAAGCATTGACACAGGGCAGGTGAAGATGGGCTAGGTTAACCATGGTGATAGGAGGGAACAATCTTATAATTTCTTACTATTTTAATTTTGGGGAAGAAATTAATTCCCAGGGCCTCCCTGCATTTTCAAGAGCAGAACTACTCAAGAACCTAACCAGCTATCAGAGCAGGAGATTGAAAATAGCGGCTGTACAGGGAATGTGCAGGGTTCCCACTCGGCCCCTAAGGACTTAATTTAGCTCCATAACCAGAAGCTTTACATTTGATTTGCAGTGAGGGGCATTTCTAATTTTAGTTTGACCCGAATGTAAGGGTGGACAGCTTTTTTTTTGGTAGAGGGAGCCCCTAAGTATTGGACAATTAGGGTAAGTCCTTGGAATGCCCCAAACAGCCATTTCCTGTATAAATCCAATATTCCCTACCTCTAAACATCTTAACATAAAGAGCTGCCCAAGTTTATCCAACCGTTGCTTGCACTAAGCAAGAGGTTTACCAAGAGCCTCTTTCAGGCACTGAGGAACTCATTCCAGCCTTATTGGGGGAGGTGGGGGGTGGTTACTAAAAACCTGCTTGTAAGAATGAAATGGGGCTGTCAATTGTCTAGCCTAACAAACTGCCAAATTAGGTTTACATTTTTAATAGGCTTTGAATGGCTATTGAAAAACGGAATTAAATTTTAAGCTTCTGATTGTAGCCACTTTCTACTCCCCAAACAGCAAACACTGGTTTATTTCTCCAGCATCAAGAAAGAAAACCAAGGCACTAGAAAGCAAGCACACTGAAGTACTGCAGATAATGAAATCTTTATATTTTGCCTGAACTGTATATTGTAGCACACTGAAACCCATTCAAGGGAAAACTCGGGCAAGGTGAAAATTCTCCCATTAGTTTTTTTTCCAAACTGACATTTAATAATTTCCTTACCCCACCCGCAAAATGCAATCACATAAATCAGTACTGTTTTGAATTAGCTCTAGAAATCACACTGAAACTATGTTACATTTACAAATATTAAATTTATTATAACTAGAATGAATTTAATGGTTCTCAGATTTGGCCACCATATAGCTCCGTTTAAGGAGGGGATTTTTAACAAAAATGCATTATAACTTGGTCAAATTACTTATTTAAAAAAACCTTCTAAAAAGGAAAACAAGAAAAGCAACCCTTTAGTTTCATCACATAATTAAAGAACAGGAGAAAGCACAGCAAGCTACATCATAGCTAAATTTACCAAACCAACCAAAGCCGGGGGGATTTTCTCTGCTGATTATGTGTCATAAAAAGGTCCACTGTCTTATATACACATGTATATAATGTTACATTCCATCACTGTAAAAAGTCCCCTTTGCCCCCTCCCCCCAAAAAGTTTCAGTCTAGTCTCCAAACTTGGACAGCGGCGCTCGCTCCTGCTGCCGGTGCAGTTCGTTCTCCGTCAGCAGCTGGAGGTTCTCGGCGCGCAGCCGGTCCAGCTCCAGCTCCAGCTCCCGCACTCGCGCGTCGTCGCCGCCGAGCCGCTTGCTTTCTAGCCGCAGCCGGTTATTCTCGTCCTCCATGCGTGAGAGGCACTTCTCCAGCTCCAGGTACTCCTTGATGAGCTCCTGCTTGCTCATGTTCTGCAGGCTTTCCGCGTGGTACCGCTCGTATGTCTCCGAGAAGTCCCGCTGCAGAAACTCGCTGCCGTCTCCTCCCATCCCGTCGCTGCCCCCATCCTCTTCGCCTGCTTCTTCCATAAAGTCCTCATCGCTGGTGTCGTCGGATTTGGCAGCGGCTCGCTTGGGGTAGAGGCCGGTTTTGAGATCCGGCTCCTCCTGGTCGTGATCATCCATAAGGAACTGCGTGGTGTTATAGGGCGCGACTGGCTGGCCCTTGGCGAACATCTCGGCTCGAATCCTGGAAGCTCGTAGGCTCTGTTTCTCGTCGAACTTTTTCTTCTCCTCCCAAGTCAACTTGTAGTATGGTTTCCAATGCCGCTTCTTCTTGGAGGGGCGTCTCCTGTGTTTTTTCTTGCCCAGCTGTCTCTGCTGCTGTCCCCACGCCTCCTCGCCCCCTGCGACAGGAGCCCCCAACTTGTTGGCCTCAGAGTCAGGACATGGCTGGGCGAGCGGCTCGGCCTCGGGTCTCGGTTCCCCTCCCGCCACCGACGGAGGGGAGCCGCCAGCGGACAAGTCGTCTCCATTATGGCCCTTCTCGCCCCCTTCCGGACAGCTAGGTTCTGGACAGATCTGGGTCTGCAGGGGAGGCGGCTGGGGCTCCAGGCTCCCTTCCCCCTCCAGCCCCGGACGGCCATCCGACTTGGGGGACGCTCTCGATTGCCACCTACTGTCCTCCTCGGGCACCCGCTCCTCCGCGCCTGGGGGGCGATCGGGGTTCCGCTCTTCATGGACAGCAACAGCACCTGTACAGTTGCTAGTTTGAGGCTGGTGCTGATATTCTGACAAAAGTGGTTCGGCCATGGCTAAGAGAGTCCTCTTCTCGAAGTTTGAAAAATTTTGGCCGTAAGTCCTTAAGGAAAAAAAGAGGTTTTTCTTTTCTTCTAAAAAATGTCCAACAGAGTCCTCTTCGGTCTGTAATTCTTGCAGTGACGCCTTTAGCCAGTTCTGTCAGCAAAGTCCAATTGCAACTTGGGGAGCTCAAGGTAGTAAAGGGTTAAGCGCCCACAGCGCGGCCAGGTAGCTGGTTCAAGAGGGTGCAGCAGCAGGAACAGTACGTAATGTGCAGAGGGGGTGGGCCTCAAGCCTCCCCGCTGAGCGCCCCCACGACCGAGGAGTTGGTGGGCAAGGAGATGAGGTTGAGTCCAACGGGTTAAACCCAGCCCCGAAGGGGTTAAAACTACCCGATGACGCTGCCTCCGAGGGGCCGGATCCACAAAGGGTTAAATCCCCTGCCGCAGAGCCCACAAGGGGTTAAAGTCCCAGAGCCACCTCCTCCCACTTCCACGGGTGTCGCTCCAACCCGAGCTCCCAGTTCCCTAGGCCCGGCCGGAGCCTCAGCCGAGGACAGACAAACTCATCTCCCCTTTGGCTCGATGCTCTGCTCTGCTCTGCTCAGCTCAGTTCTCCTCCGCCTCCTCCTCTTTTCCTCCCTCCCTCCTCCCCCTTCCGACAGCGCCTCTTCCGCCTCCTCCTCCTCCGACTTCCCCTCCCAACCTGCCTCTCCACCTGCCAACTTCCAACTGCTGCCTCCCAGGCCTCTGCGCCCCTTTTATATAGAAGTGTGTGCGCCCCGCCCATGCGCATGCGTAGCAGAGTCCCCATCGCGGGAAGCTGGGAGTCGTAGTTCTCATCTTTCAGGCCCGCCGTCCTCGCGCGCCGTGCGACGTAGCCAATCCCAGAACGCGTAGGGGGCGTCTTCCAGGCCGCCTCCTTCCATGGCTTAGCCCTCGCTAGAAAAACGTGAGCGACCATTGGTTAAGAGTCACACGTCTCGCAGCGGAAGAAAAGCCAATCGCAGAGAAGATGGGGCGGGTTCTGGACTATACCATTCTGCTTCAGGAGTACGAGAAGATTCGATGGCTTGTGAAGGCACACAGAGAATATTTTTATGAAAAGGTGCGTTTTAAAGACTATTATCGTATTCTATACTCAGCGGAAGGGTTCTGAAGGTCATAAACATTTGTTAACTAAAGAAAAATGGTTTATTCCTAAAAAGTAGTCCCTAAAGTGTAAAAGAGGATTAAACCCTATAAAGAGAGATATTGGCCCACGGCTAATAGATATCGACTCCTAAGATTACAGGAATATCTTCAAGGTGTGTGGTTATAGCCTGGAACTGACATTTGCGGAAGGACATTGTGAACATTTTGTAAAAAAACGAAAAGCGCATGAAGAAGTAAACAAATGAAGGATAAAAAGTGCCGCCTTAAAGGGACAGTGTCACTGCGTTAGCACAGCACCCTCGCACTAGGCCTCGGGAGATGAGAAGACAGGTTCGAGTCCCGGGTGACATCCACTCTCGGACTGGCTTCAGGACCCTTGGGCGAAAGTGGCCGGGTTCCAGCCCCAGCCTAGTCTTTCAGGGCCACTACCGCCCCAGGGACCAGTGCAAAATGGTGGGCCGTGAGCTTCTCCCCTGGGCTGGGATCCGGGAAGCGCGGGATGTGTGCCCGCGGCTGAGATGCCTCTGCCTCCTGGCCCTCAGCTTCTGTCGAAGAAAATGGCCTCCTGGGGCGGACCGGGAACATTTTCTGAGCCCAAGACAGGGGAGTCTGGGCCAGCTGATGAGCCTCTTTGTTGGAGGAGGGGGGGCGAAATTAATGATGAGTTTAAATAATCAACCCTGGCTAGCCGAGAGAGAAGGGGGTATCATCCACAGAGGCTCTTTTCATCAGTGGGCTCTGGGCAACACCGGAAGGGAAGCACAGCCAGAGGCTTCCCCAAAGAAGAGGCCTTGCCCAGAAGTGGGGATAGGGGGTTCTGGCCCAGGACTCTGTGTGTGGAGGGGGAGGAGGCACATACTCTCCTTGAGAAAATTCTCCAGATTACAAGCTCCCACCCAGAGGACAGGGCCTGGGAGTAGCCTAAACCCTCTGTTCTAATCACTTAGGCCTAAAATCTCGGAGAAATCTCAACTTCGCTCTCTTGCCACACACCCAGTGGCCCACTGGTTATTTTTTCCTTAATAGCAATGTGTTACATTCCAAGCGCTCTCTATTGTATGTTCTTTTATACAGAACCATTTGACCCCACCACAGCCCAGTGAGTTAGACAGGGTGGGAGTTGTCTCCATTTTAGACATGAGAAATCTCTAAGACTCAGAGAAATTAAGTGACTTGTCCAAAGTCATAGGACAACTAAGTGACAATTCCAGCAAGAGCAAAGGTCTTGGTGACTCCCGTGCCGTTTTTCTTCTTTCAGAAACACGAGGGCCGGCCCCGTGGCTTGGTGGTTAAGTGAGTGCGCTCCACTGCTGGCGACCCGGGTTCGGATCCCGGGCTCGCACCGACGCGCTGCTTCTCTGGCCATGCTGAGGCCGCGTCCCACGTACAGCAACTAGAAGGATGTGCAGCTGTGACACACAGCTATCTACTGGGGCTTTGGGGGGAAAAAATAAATAAATAAATTAAAAAAAAAAAAAAAAAGAAACACGAAATTCCCATTTTTCTCAAGAACTCTGGACTTAGTTCCTTTTCATTCCTAACAGCATCAGCCTAACTTAGGTCCTTGTTTCTTTCTTTTTTTTTTTTTTTTGTGAGGAAGATCAGCCCTGAGCTAACATCCTTGCCAACCCTCCTCTTTTTGCTGAGGAAGACCGGCCCTGAGCTAACATCTATTGCCAATCCTCCTCCTTTTTTTCCCAAAGCCCCAGTAGATAGTTGTATATCATAGTTGCAGATCCTGCTAGTTGCTGTGTGTGGGACGCTGCCTCAGCATGGCCTGACAAGCAGTGCACCGGTGCGCACCAGGATCGGAACCCCGGGCCGCCAGTAGCATAGCGTGTGCACTTAACCGCTAAGCCACGGGGCCGGCCGCCAGTCTTTCTTTCTTTAGCAAACATTTGTTAGGAGGGCACAATGATGAATAAAATGTCATCCTTGCTGCTTGCATGGACTATGTGTGGAGAGGCGCCATCAAACCACAGTGAGCCAAAATGGCAAGTGCAGAAATCCTGGTAGGAGCTTGTGAGCTGAGCTGCTTAGGAGTTAATTGTGGACAAGTTTCATGGGGGAGGTGACTTCTTGGCTGTCTCTGAAGGATGAAGCATTTTCAGGCAAGAGTGGCACGAAGACGGGCAGTGTATGAAGAGCAAGCATGGTGTGCAAAGAAAGGACTTGTCTGGGAACTGAGGACTGGTTCAGTGGAGAGGTAGTGATGGGCATGCCCAAAGGGAGAGGCAAGCAGGAGTGCCTCTGGGGCATGTCCAGGTGTTTTGAAATTGACCACCCAGCCTGTTTTCCCTGGGCTTCCAAGAACTCAGATCTATCTGAAAAGCCTGCCCTCCTCTGTGCTGCTCCATCAGTCATGCGGGAAGCTCCCTGGGAGCAAGAGCTGCCCCTCACACTGGGAGATCCCTGGGAAAAAGGGTTTTTGCAGTGAACTTTACTAGGAGTCAGAGACCTCCAAATTGTTACATTTTCAGACCTCAGAAGACTCCTGGGTACGTCAGTCAGGGGATTTGTAAGGTACAGCTGAACCCAGCCTCAGTTTGCTGGACAGAGCTCAGCTATGTGGTTTCCTTTGTCATATTGGAGGGATGGGCTTATAGGTTGTGGAATTCTAAAACTGTATCAAACAAGAGGCCCAGCACCTTGATATTGGCTGAGTTTTAACCCTTTGGCAGGCATTTTACATGTCCTGGTCATTTAAACCCCAGGACTGCCTTATGATGAAGAGATCATCATCCTTATTTCACAAACAAGGCAACCCAGGCTCAGAGTAGTTAAGAATCTTGCCCAAGTCACACAGCTAGTGTGCGCAGGTGGTGGAGCTGGCTTCTGCCACAGGACTGCATCCCCAGCACCAATTTGGTCCCTCCCACTGCCCTGCTGTTGTCCATCCTTAACACATGGGTTTATTCAGCTTCTCTGCATGTAACCCTGGGCTAGATGGTGGAGCAGCAAGCCCTGTGTGTTCTGAGGGATGCCCTCCTCGCCTCGAGAAAAGGACTGACAGAGTGACGGTGGCTTCCAGTGGGGCAAATGATTGGCCAAGCCTGGGGCAGTCGTCAAGGCCAGGGGCTGACAGAGGGAACTCCGGAGTTTAAGGGTCTTCAAGGAGGGGCCTTCAGAACGGCCTCTTCCTTTAAAAAAAAAAAAAAAAAAAGAACTGCCTCTTCCTCACCCAGGGGCAGGAAGGTCCTGGGGCCCAGGTGATGGCAGCTGCACAGGGCTCAAGGCTGCGGCGGGCATCCATGGGTGGGGACCCTGGCCAGTGGCCTCTGCCCCGCCAACACTAGGAGGCGCTCAGAGTGGCGGGTTCCCCACCGAATACGGGCCGTGGCTAGAGCCAGGGCGGCCCAGGGTGGGATGACAGGGCTGGCGTGACCAGAGAGAGGCCAAAGCTGCCAGGCGGTGAGGGAAATAAGTTCGGAGGCCGCGCAGCCTGCAGCCGGTGGCACCCCGATGTCTGTGCCCACGCAGGTGCTCTGCCCACCCATACGGGGGCTCCCAGTGCAGGGCCCCGCCCCCACTCCTCAGAGCGGGGCGCAATGAGGCTCCCACTGGGTCTTGGCATTCCAGAAAGTTCCCTGGGAAAGCCGGAGCGCGGAGGTCACGGGGAGGAGGCACCGGGAGCGAGCAGCTGAGAAGGGGGAAGCGGGCCATGGGCACTTCTGGGGCCGGGGTCTCGGTACCCCAACCCTACGCCCAGCGCGTCGCCCAGCGCGTCGGCCAGGGAGCAGCCGCCCTTCTCTCCGGGGGGTCGGGGGGTAGGGAGCCTACGCCCGGGCCCGCGCCCTTAGCCCCACCCCTGGCGGCGCTCGGGGCCCCGCGCCCCAACTCCCGGACGCCCCACCCCGCCCGCCCCGCCGCGGGCGCCCCCCCGCCTCCGCCTTTCCTGGAGACCCGGGCCTCTGTCCGTTCCCTGCCCCGGGAGGAGGGAAGGTCTTCCTCCCGTAGAAACGCCGCCCGCGGGCCTCTCGGGGCGTACGCAGGGACACTGGGGGAGGGGCAGGGAAGGGACTTGGGCCTCGCGCGCCGGGGACCCGTCTTCCCGCCTCACTCCGTGGGGGTCCAGACGGCAGAAGATTGAGGTTTTATTTTATTTAGTGAAACATTCATTTGTAAGGGAATCTTCGGTGAAGACGTCCTGAGTGTGTGTGGGGGAGAGCGGCTGGGGAGGGAGGCCAGCAAAACGGAGCTCACTCTCCTCCCCTGGGGCCTGCTCTCTCCGCCTTCCCCCAACTCGGCCGGGCCTCCTGGCCTCCCTCCCGCCGCCTCCCAGGCAATCATTCTTCCAGGCCCCGGCCCAAGTCCCAACTTGCCCAAGAGCTGAGCCTCCATCGGGAGAAGCTAGGGGGAAAAAGTCAGGTGACCCGGGGAGGGGCGGGCAGAGGCTGAGACCCAGCAGCCCCGCCCTAGAGTCCCCAGCCAACCCAGAACCGGGGCTGTGCACCGCCACTGCAGCCTCCCAGGGGAGCCTGGGGCGCTTGGGGGGAAGGGAGGAAGCGTCCAAGTGAAGCTGCAGGGAAGGGTGGTGTCTTATCCGGCCCCCCATTAGGGGAGGGGTGCCAAGGCAAACACATTGGTGGAGAGGACGGGAGTTAATGCTGTTCTCCTAAACCCTAGGAAGGCTCAGGGCACAGCAGGACAGGGGGCTCACAGCCTCCTCAACTGGCTGCAGAGACTCCTCCATTGAGTCACCTCTTCTGGGTCCGAAACTGTCGGAAGAGCCACTGGACAATGAAGGGCCACAGGAGGAAGAAGAGCAGCATGGGACCCGAGAGCCTGAGGGGCCAAGGCCGGGCACTGGGCGAGGGCCTCTGCTGCCAAGAGTGAGGGAGTCAGGGGCCAGTCCAGGCCTCAGCATAGACTGGGCCCTCCTTAGGAACCTGCTTCCATAACTCAGTGGGCGCTTCTGCCTCCCCCAGATTGTAAGGACTGGGGCAGAGAAGACCCTCCCCCCAAATCTGCACCACTAGAAGGGAAGTGATCCTGGGGCTCCCAGTGTGTCCCTGACGATTGAGCTCCAACTCCCTCCCACATCCCTCCCACATCCTCCTCCCATGGCAATCTCAGGTGCCAAGAGGGCTGGAGGCTGGAGGGGCTGCCTAGTGGAGAGACTGGCTTCTAGGCTGTCTCCTCTGGGCCGCAGAGCAGGGACCCTGTTGGTATGGCCTGAAGACCCCATATTGTAAAGGATGTGCCTCATATTTCAAATGAGGACCCTCGGTGCTCAGATTTTAGTTTCTAAATATCATCTCTGCTAAAAGGAGCCAGGGCGCCTTAGAGAAGTGACTGATTCTAGGTGTGGAGCAGGGAAGGTAGAGGTGAATGTGGGACATCTTGTACCAGAAAGCAAGGAAGCTTTTAAAGATTAATGAGGTCACGTTATAAGAATAGAGGACCCAGCTTGAAAGGGTCTCCACTGACCAAAGTTGTGGCAATCTGAGTATCAAAAAGAATGATGATTGCAGTTGATTGAAATACTGAATCTTTAAAATCCGTGAGTCCATAAAGATACTCAAAAAAAGAGAAAGTTGGAAATTTGTCACTATTGAGGTGGTTGTTAAATCAACTCCTTGCTTTAAAAATAGATAAAGAGAAAGAATTAAGCATTTATCCTGCCTTTCCATAAGGCACTGTATTCAGGGAAATCCTAGATGATCAGGGAAACTCTACAGAAAAATGACAGCTAATAAATGTTAAAGGAATAATAGAATTTAAAAGTCAACATTTTTTTGCAACCACTAAATAAATTATTAATCCAGGCATGGATTATCTGTCAATTGTTGTCAAAACCCATGTGGCAAATGGGGTTGACGGAGAACTGGACATTCCTTGGCTGCAAGAGGAAAACGTGACTTCCCAGTGGTGGGATCGGACTCTCTCTCCTTCATCCATGCTAGTGGTCCACACTAGAATCATTAATGGTGGGACCTCTAGGTACGTGTTCCCTGATGTGAAGAATGTCACCTCTGATGTAATCTGGTCATGTAAACTAGACATGAGGCTGTAATCAGAGAGACCCAAAAAGTGGAACATTCTACAGGACCACTGGCCAGCTTCACCAGCAAGTCAGTAGTGAGGAAAAGGAACTGGTCTAGACTAAAGGAGTCTTTTTCTTTGTGAGGAAGATCAGCCCTGAGCTAACATCCATGCCAATCCTCCTCTTTTTGCTGAGGAAGACTGGCCCTGGGCTAACATCCGTGCCTATCTTCCTCCACTTTATATGGGACACCGCCACAGCATGGCCTGACAAGTGGTGCGTTGGTGCGTGCCTGGGATCCGAACCCAGGCTGCCAGCAGTGGAGCAAGAGCACTTAACCCCTACGCCATGAGGCCGGCCCTTAAAGGAGTCTTAAAGAACAGAGGACCCAGATGCAGGAGGTGCTCCTGGACTGGACAGAGGGAGCAGCTGGAAAAGGCAGTGTCGGTACAACTGGGGAGATTTGATTTTGGATTAGGTATTTGATGATATGAAGGAATTATTGTGTGTGATAGAATGTTGTTGTTTGGGCTAGGTAGTAGAATGTTCTTATCTTTAGTGATGCAAACCCAAGTGTTTCAGGGTGGAAATCTTTAAAATCTTCAGCATATAAAATTAGTGAAAGGTAAACAAAATAAATAAATCCCTGGGGGGTGGGTGTTGAAAGGCTAGCCACTGTGGATGTGAGGAGATTCCTGCCACCCTGGCTGACACACTGTGCAAGGGGGTTAGGGGCTACCCAGCAATCCCCACATCCAGCACTTAGCCCTCTCCCGCCCCCACCACCCCAGGCTTCTCAAGAACAGACCTACTCAGAGTTAATGGTGGCCAGCTTTGGAGGGAGATAGACCTGGGGCCACTCCCAGCTCTATCACTTAATGTTAATAATAGTAAAAATAACAACCCCATTTGAGAAGGCCTTCCTGTGTTTTGGCACTGCAGAAGCAACTACAGGCATTATTTCGTCTAATCCTCACAGCAGCTCTGTGAGACTCTTCCAGGCTGTGTGCCCTCAAGTAAATTACTCAGCCTCTGAGAGCCTTAGTTTCCTCATCTGTACAAGGGAAATGAAGAGAAGCTATTTCATTGGGTTGTTGTGTGGATTAAATGAGATAATGCAAGTAACGTGTTTGGCGCACAGCTGGGGCTCCAGAAATGGCAGCTGTTGTGTATTCTGCAGAAGCAGAGGAGTAAGGGGCGAGCGGATCGAGGAGTCGAGCGAGGGAGTGAGGGATGCAAGGGCTGAATTGTTTGGGGGCAAACCCTAAATCTGGGAACAGAAGTCCTGACAGAGGGGCAACAGGGACCTCCAGCCCCAATGCAAATAGCAGACACATCCTGGCCCTTCCAAACTGTTGGAATTAGTCCTCAAGCTGTTTCTCTTGAGGCAGAGGGAGTTTACAGCAGGAAAGGAGGGCCCTTCCCTCTCTCCTTTCCAGGGTAGAAGTACCTCAGACCCCTTGACTTCCCTGCTTGCAACCTGAGCCACACCATCCTGTGGAGAAGGCAGAGATGTGGGCAGGTGGAGAGTTAGGGACAAAGACAGAAGTGGCTGGATGAGGAGCCCAGAACAGAAAACCTGAGAGTTCTGCCCCCATCTTGCCCCGAGCCTTGGGGGGGCTCACCTGCTTGGGGGGGCTGGGCATGCTCTCCAGGCTCTGCAGTCTCCCCTGGACTTCCTGCATGCTCTCCTGCAGTGCCCGAACTGTCCCCATCAGCCACGTATCCAATTCCTGGGGCCCCAGCAGGCTGCCCTCCAATCCCTCTGCAGAGCACAGACAAACAGGGAAGGGGACTCAGGAGGCGACTCAGCTAGCGACAGGGTGGTGGCAGGCTGGGGCACATCCAGGGAAGAGTAAGAAGAGAGTGCAGTCCCCGTACAGAGTGTGACTCTTATAAAACCCATCCACGGGGGTGCCAGGGGGTTGAATCCCAGCACTGCCACTTAGCTGTGTGACTGTGGGCAAGTCAGTCACTTCTCTGAGCCTCATTTTGTCATCTGAAAATTAGAGGAAGATGTCATCTCCTCACAGGGCTGCTTGCTCAGAGGAATAAAGGAGATAATATTTATGAAAGTGCCCCTTATGGGACATGGCACACTGGAAGTTCTAGAAGGGGATAGGACAGAACTCGTCCTTTGAGAGTCCCAAATGGGAGGCCCAGAGAGAGGATGACTCCCAAGGCCGTGTGGCTGTATGTGAGTGAGTTGGGCTAGGATTCCCACCCCAGCTGCCCTTCCTCAGTGCCAGCTGTATAGACGCCTGGTGGCCATCAGGCAGAGCAGGCTGGGCAGGGACTTTGCCCACCCAGGCTGGCGTCTGGCTGTTTGGCAACCCTTCGTGGGCACAGGCTGCTCTCTCCAGTGCCCAGTGCTAGACTTTCACCTCTGCCCCAAGAGGGCAGCCAGGGGAAGGCCTGGGGCACCGGAACAACAGGGAAGGCAGAAGGGGGTAAGGGTCTGGGAGGGGCTCACCTTTCTCTCGGGGGGGCACAGGGCTGTTTCTGGAGTCAGGCTCCCCTCCAAGGGCACCCCTCTGCTCTGCCCAAACCTGCTGAGGTGAGTCACAAGGTCCAAGGGGGGCTGTGGGAGCAGCCAGGGCTCAGTGGGGTGGGGAAGAGGAGAATGTGGCGGTGGCAGGGGTGGAGTCTCACCAGCTCAGGCTCCAGCTGCTCCAGAGAATCAGAGAAAAACTCAGAGTCCAGGTCCCTGGGTGGCTGGGACTCTGGGGAAGGGGTAGGTAGGGTTAGTGATAAGAGGGAGGCCATGGAGGGAGGAAGGGGTGTGTACCCGTTCAGGGGACACTAGGCATACTGCCACAAGAGGCACAGATGGGTCCCAGAAGTGAGGCCCTGGAACAGGAATCCCAGAACCTGCCCCCTGGCCTTTGGGAGCACAGGAGGTCTCTGTATCTGTGGGCATGAGGTGGGATGGGCACAGCGTGGCATCCAGCCTTCTCCCCTCCACCCCACCTGGAGGTACCCCCACCCATGGCCTGGGTTTGGCCCTCTGCCCCTCCTGCTCAGGCACTGACCTGGGTTTGGGGGTGCTGGTTCCTCGGGGAGGCAGGAAGGCTCTGGGGCAGCCCCAGCATCTCCATTCAGTACCTGCTCTTTACAACCTGCCGAGACACAGCGCCCAGAGGTAGGGCTGGGAAGAAGCTGGCACCTCCTAGTGAGATCAGGCCCCTGTTCTCCATTAGCCATGGACTCTGCCTGAGACCCACCACATCAGGGCACTGGTTGGGGGCCTTACAGGGACATCACCTGGAGCCCTCTGCCCCCAGGCCCCCCTCCCACTGAGCAGCACCCTCAGCCTGAACCTAAAATAGTTCACTCAGCACTCACGGAGCTCCCAATCTGGGGACCTGACCTGTGACCTTTCTCAGGAAGGTTTCCGGGGGCCTCGGCATGTCAGGGATCACCTGGTACAGGGGCTTGAAGTAACCAAACATGTCCTCTGCCACCTCGCCCAGGGGCACTGTGTCGATCACCTGTAGGGAAAGGGGTCTATTGGGGAGTGGCTGGCCCCCTCCCACCACTGCCCTCCTATCCCCCTTGAGCTGGGCTCCCTCCATGCTGCTCCTGCCTTCATACCCCTCCACCTTGTGCCCAGTCAGGGACCAAAGACAGGCAGGGTTGGGGGACAGCATGAAGGTGGCAATTCCCACAGAGGTGTCCACATGCAGGAAACATAATGGGTGTCAGCACAGGAAGAGTGGGGGGCAGGCCACTTGGCTGGGAGTTTGGGGACAGAGAGGAGCCCACAGCCTCTCCCTACCTTCTGTGCCACCAGCTTCATCTCAGTGATGTAGGCGGACATGGCCTCCTCCCTGCTCATCTTGCCCAGGCTGTTCCAGGCGTCCCTGGAGGGGCAGAGAGCTGTGAGAGGCTAGTTGACAGCTGAGGCTTGTTTGCCCGGCCGCTGGGAAGCTCACCACTTATATCGTCCAATGGGGTCCCAGAACCCAGGCCGGGGGACCAGGCAGGGCCCCATGGTAGCCTGCTTGTAGTAGCTGTAGAATCGTAGCATCTCTTCGTAGGAGGGGCGGTAAGAGCCTGGACAGATTGGGAAGTGGAGGGCAGAGCATCACCCCTAGCTCCAAGAGGATGGAGGTGGGAGCAGAACCACCCTTGCAGAGGACAGAGATGGTGAGGGGTCCACCCGGGGCAGCTGGACAGGGGCAGGAGGCAGAGGGGACTCCCAGGGAAGCCCAGGCAGGTACTTGTCTGCAAAAACTTCAGTGATCAGAGCCTCCTAGGAAGGGGACCTCAGTCTTCTTGATCCCCAAAACGCGGGTCCTCGCGCCCTCACCATTCTTAGGCAGGTTCTGAATGACGCTGACTGCCGCCTGGAACTGTTTCTGGCAGTCCGGTTCTGGGCTTTCATTCTCGGTACCCATACCCAGCTGCTCCGAGCCCTGGGGCCCTACTTTTGAGCGACTCTGCAAGAACAAGTCTCCGTGTGAGCAAGCCTCCAGGGTCCCCCGGCACACACCTCTGTAAGTCACTGATCCATTTTCCAGAGGGGCAAACTAAGCTCTTTAGAGGCCTGAGTGAGATACCCCGGGAAGTTAGGTCAGAAAGTGCGGCTGAGAAGACTCCTTTTTCTACCCCAAGGCAGCGTGGGTGGGCCAGGGTGGATGGAGAGGACCTCGGTGGGTGGGTGGAGAGGCAGGTAGCACGGGTCGCAGTCGCTCTCTAGATGTACCTCTTCAACTCCTAGACAGGCGAATGGGAAAGCTGAGAAGTCAGGGCGGGGCGAACAGTCTCCCACCCTGGCCCGGACCCTGGCACTCACCCCGCAGAGTCCTCTCCCGGGACACCTGAGTCCTCTCTCGCCACTAGCCGGAGGCTTCCGACTGACCTCCGGGCCCAGTCTGGCCAGGATGGGGTCGCGGAGTGGGGGGGGGGAATTTAAGCCAATGAGAGAGCCCGTTTCAGATTCCGCTTATATGCCCCAACCACTCAGAGCGGCCCTTTCAAGATTATGCAAAGAGTTTAGCTGTGCCTCTCCCAATCAGGAGGGGCGATTCCACGGGTCGATTTCCCAACCCTGGACCTCCAGAAGCGGGCGGAAGCGCCCCCTGGTGGACGTAGTGAAATGACACAGAGTCCTCGCGCCCTCTGGTGGAAACCCGCGTCTGTCAGTTGAACCCAGGTCCCACAAATCTGAGCGCCTCAACTCAGTTCTTCAGACACTTACCAGGCGCTGGGGATAAAAGAAGGGAGTCATATCCTGGGGTCAGGGGTTCTGGAGAAGGGGCATGGGAGCTGAGTTTTGGAACACTTAAGTGTAGTCCAGGAGAAGAATGAGGAAGGTCATTCCTGGAGGAAGGAATCGCAGAATCAAAAGTACAGAGGCGAAGACGACATTCAGAAAGAATGTCCAGAGAGGAGTGGGGATCCAAACCAATATGCGGAGTCTCGGGTTCGGGGATATCGGAGAATGGGATAGAGCCTGGGGCAAATAGGTGGCAAAGCTAAGTTCCGAGAAACTAAGCTTTCTCTTTGAGATGCCACGCTCTTGGCCGCCGCCGAGTGGCGGTGTGCGCCTAGCTCTCCGCCCCCGGCCCAGGGCACTTGCTGCAGACGACGCAGACAGGCGCGCACACGCAAACGTTAGTCTCCTGTCCATCCCACCCTTCACGCACAAATACGCAGGTGGTTCCATATATAGTACGTGAACACACGACACGGTCACCAGAACCCGCACTCGACGCTCACCCACTGGTTGATGTCACGGACATCTACGCAGCGTGCAGTGGCCTTCCTGGGACGATCCAGCCCCTGTTGGGGTGCCAACCCGTCCAAGCCTCGAACCCCAGAATCGGAGTTCTGCTGGGGACTCTATATTTAGCACCACCCCTTCTTCTCCAGACCAGTCAGCTTCAAGACTTCTACCACTGAGGGGACCGCAACTGGCTGGACGCGGAGAGGGTTAATCATATGACGTCACAGCCAGAGCCTTCCTACCCCCCACCCCACTTCCCGCTCCCCTACCCCTCCGGTTCGGGCTGCCCCACTGCCTAGCTCATCTCCTGGGGTTCTATCGGTTTTCTGGGCCCGAGGACCCTTGGCCCAGGGGAGCCGCCCCGCAGACCCGGTCTCCTGTCTGGCTCCCTTCTGAGGCCTCCCGGAGGAACCGGGAACGGGAGGGTGGAGAGGGGTCCTGAGTCTGCACTGAGTCAGGGTCCGGGGAAAGGAGAGGGTGCCTGTGCCAGAGGGCAGCCCTCGCCCCTTCTGCCTCATGGGGGCTGCGGACATCGATGGGCTGGGATCCGAGGATCGCTCCGAGAATGGGGAGGCGGACTCATGAGCAGAGGACGAACGCCGGCCCGCCTCCCTACACCTCCGTGGGGGCACAGCTCCCGGCCTGGGGTCACCGCCCCCCTCCCCTCCACCGCCTCTCGCCTCCCCCGCGCCGTCCTCGGCCCCGCCCCCTCCCTCCTCGTCCCTCCTTCCCTGAACCTCGTCCCTCCCTCTCTCCCTCCTCCCGACACCTCCTCCTCCCGACTCCCTCCCGGCGCCGCTAAGTTTCTTCGCTCGGGATCGCGCGCGGAGCCGGGGCCGGGCCCGAGCGGCGCCCCCGGTGCCCTGTCCCCGCGCGCAGACCCGGGCCCGGCCCCGGCCCCACCGAGCCATGCTGTGCGGCCGTTGGAGGAGCTGCCGCCGCCGCCGGTCGGAGGAGCCCCCGGTGCCGGCCCAGGTCGCAGCGCCCGTCGCGTTCCCGTCCCCGCCCGCGCCCCCGGACAGCGGCACCAAGAGACCCGGACTGCGGGCGCTGAAGAAAATGGGTCAGTGACCGGCAGGGACTGTTCCGGGTGGGCGCGCACCGTCCCCAGGGGCGCGGCGTGGGAGGGCCGGGGTGTTCCCGCAAGCTGTTCGTGGGCTTCCCGGGCCGCATGGGGGTGTGGGGAGTATGGCGACAGATGGAATGCCAGCACCGGTCCAGCTGGGGTTCGCACCTGGGGTCACCCGAGATTCCCGGCCGAGCGAGGCGCCCAGGATGGCCGTTGTTCCCCCCCAGGAGGCGCCCGCCGGGCGTCCTTGCGTGGGAGTTTGGGCGGGGGGTGTGAATTGGGGTCCCTGAGGACCCAGAGAGTGGAGAGGAAGAGACAGACTTGGGATGTCCCTCACCCGCCTCCCCAACTCCGTGTGCCTTCTCACGTCTGAGAGTGCCCCAGAAGAGCCTGGGTTCTTGGCCGCCCTTAGGAGGGCATGAGAGTTGTGGAAGGGGCTGGCCTCTCACACCAGGCCTCCAACCCTGCAGCCCCCATAGGGCCACACAGCACTGGTAGGGCTGGTCTAACTGGTGAGAACACTGCCCTTGGAGCCAGAAAGCCAGAGTTCCCGTCTCAGATTTGAGGGAAGTCACTGAGGGGAAGGAATGTAACTGTGGCTTATTAAGCATCTCCCAGAGACAGGCCAGCACTGGGAGGTTATGTATGTGGGTGGTGTCATTCAATCTTCTTCACCTTTCTGAAAGGCAGGTGGTATAATCCCCATTTCACAGATGAGGAAACTGACTCAGAGAAGTCAAAGAATTTGTCTATGACCACACAGCTAGTAAAGGGCAGAGTTGGTTGGCACGCAGGCTGTGCTCCACCACACTGCCGCTGGTACCCTCGCAGACCCTGGCCAAGTGGGACTGACTGGGCAGTTGAGGGGCTTGAATGAGGGGGTGTATGTGTGAGAGTATTTTATGAAATGTAAAGTGTCGTGAGACTGAAGCGGTGTCTTGGAATTGCTGCTGGTAGAACAGTAAAGATGGATAAGTAGGGGTGGGGCGGAGGGGACAGAAGGGCAGGGCTGCCCAGGAGACCTGTGTGAATTTTGGGGCAGAATTCAGGGGTCCGGATTGCCACTCTTCTCTTTGCCATTGCCCCCGCCCCCGCCCCATTCTTCCTTCTACCTCCTCTCACTCATTCAACCTGAAATTATTGAGTGCTGACTATGTTCTGAGCACTGAGCCTGGCACTCTGCCTACAGAGACTTAAGACATGATCTCTGCCCCACCTGCCATTAATCATGCATGCGTTCAACAAACATTTATTCAGTGCCTGTGGTGTGCTCTGCCCTGGAGATTCAGCAACGAAGAGGAAGACACAGTCCTGGCCCTTAGAGAGCTGAAGAACCAGCAAGGATGGCAGACAATGAAGCAAAGAAGCAAGCCTCTGGGGGGAGGGGGCAAGGGATGCCGGGGAGCCAGCGAGGGCTGCACCCCAGAGCCAGGGGGAGAGTGGAGTGAGGCCAAAGGGGAGAGACAGGTGGGGGCCGGATCCTCAAGGCCCCTCCTTGTAGAGTTATGGACTTTCTCTGGAGGGCGGCAGGAGCCCCGGAAAGGTCTCAGGCCGCAGGAGGCAGGCAGGGGCTGTGCTGAGTAGGGGCAGGTTGGACGAAGGCAGAGGTGAAGCAGGGAGACCCATAGGAGGGAGGCTGAGGAGCACGCTGGGCAAGAGAAGCAGCTCCGGGAGTCAGCCGCCCGCGGGGGTTACGGGTTCCTTGGGAGGGCTGAGGTGATGCTCCCGTGCACCTGTCTGCCTCTTCATTCCGCACACATTTGCTAAGCCCCATACATGTGCCAGGGCGCACATGTATGTGCCAGGGGCTGGGGCTACAGAGATGAATAACACAGCACCTTGCCCTCGGGGAGTGCACAATTTAGTAGCAGGTGACACTTGTAAACAAATAATTACAGCTGAGCCCAGGCTGAGCAAGGCTGCATAGGAGCTCTGGGCACCCCATCACAGTGACACTGTCGGGAACTATGTGGGTGTCAGCATGTCATCTGGGCCGCCCTCCCTCCCCACCACTGCTCCATCCTGCCCGAGTGACTGCGAGAGAGGAATGTCGAGTCCCTGGGGAATGCCCCTTCCCCAGGCCACACTGTGTCCGGAGACAGGGTGGAGATGCAACCCAGGTGTCCTAGGGCCCAGCCCCTCATGCCAGCGAGGCCAAGGCCTAGCCCTACCACCCAGGTCGCTGCCCCTCCTGCGATTACCCTCTTGGCCATGTCCTATCCCTGCCAAGGCCACACCCCTTAGGCTAACAGAGAACAGATTTTATTTCAGATCAGATCAAGAGGCAAGGCAGGGAGTGGCTTGGAGGTCAAAGGCTCAGAGGGGCCCAAGGAAAAAAAACGGCCTCTGGGGGCATACGGGTGGGTGAGGGATCGGCAGAGGGGGGAGGAGGGAGAAACTGCAGCCCCCACATGGTGTGGGAGTCATTTGTCTAGCCTGGGGGCCCCTCCTCTCCTGTCTCTGCCCCAGCGCTGGCTGCTGCTGTGGCCTGACCCCAGGAGGCCCAGGAATGGTTGAGGGAGGGGAGGAGCCAGCAAGCGCCTGCCGTGGCCAGGCACAGGGCTGAGCTTGCGGCGGCCCAGATCCTCCTTAACCCTTGGCCACCCCGAGTGTGGTGCTGCTGCTGTCCTCAAATTCCAGATGAGAGACTCGAGGTGGAGGGGCTGAAGTCCCCAGCACATGGTCTGCCTACCGCCAAAGCCTAGTTTTCAGTGACGGCTCTTTATTGCCGGAATTAATGAACATTAATTAACAGCTTTATAACACTGTGTGAGCACTTGTCATGTATTAGCCATTTAATGCTCACAATCAT